GAACGGGGGAGTAAGATTTTTCTCAAATTTGAAAGGAGTTAAGAAAAAGTGTTTCAATTGAAAATGATGTAATTATGGTAATAATATCTCTCAACCATTCCTTACATTTAATGCTCCCATCACTTACATGCCCTCCTTTTCTTGATTTTCCTCCCTCTCCCCCATATTATTAATTAATTGTCCCCACATTTAATGAACAATTAATCGCTTTCAGTAAACTTTTCCAAAATCTAATTATTAGTTCTTCGCTTCAAATATATTTCTATAATCCTATTTATAATTATTTTTAACATATTTTATACAAATAAAAAAATATTAAATTTTATTAACTTTTATTTAAAATTTAATAATTTTTAATTTTATCCTATTTAATATGCAATATACCTCATGCAAATAAGTCAACACAACAATAAATAAAAACAAAATTGTGTATTTGTATAAAAAATTTCTTTCAGTGCCCTCTAAATAGGTTCAAAAAATATCTTGTCTCTCTACCTTATAAATAAACCTAGAGGAGTACTCTTCTATTATTTATAAGATACTTTTAACATGTTTTACATAAACTAAGAAAAACATTAAACTGCATTAACTCTTATCAAAATATAACAACTTCTCAACTTTACCCTTATTTAATTTTAAAAAAACTATCTATACTATAATAAATGAAGGATAATATAGTATATTTATGATAAAAATTTAATAAATAACTTATAAATATAACAAAAAAAAAAACCCTTCTCTTTTTATTCTATAATAGGATCAGAAAGTAAGTATGAGAGATTGAGAGGCTGGGACCAAAATAATATTAAAAAATTATATAATTAAATATATAAAAATGATTTATATATATGTTTAATATCCCGCTTTCAAAAGTCAAAATTATATTCTTTTGGCCAATGAGCACTCTATTCATTGCTACATCTAATGCATAATATAAGTAGTTTTTAAAAGAACGACTCAATTTAAAATATAATTTTTTTTGAAGAGTAATAACACTTATTTATTATTATTATTATTATTGTAATTAGTACTTAAATATAACCCCTTATATTTTTTTCTTCACAACTTTATTTAATATAGGTAAAGTTAAATTTTTTTTTTTGAACATATTTAATGAGTTAACTACTATTTTTTAATTATGATAAACTTGTATTGTGAACCCAAGGAGTATAATAAATAAGTACTTATGAATTTAAATGCACACATGGGAAAAACTATTAAAATGCTCTATATATTCTCAATCAGAAATAGTGGCCTATATTATACGTTATGAATGGGAGGATTAGGCATAAAATTACAAAAGTTCCTCCCCTCTCCATTTTTTAAATTGTCCCTAATGAAGAAACTTTTTTATTTTTTTATTTTATGGTTTAAAGAAAATATTAACTGCAAATATTAAAAAACTAAATCATGGAAACATAGAAAAATTGTTAACATTCATTCATTAAAATTACGCAAATATAATTTTTATTCAACAATGTCCCTAATTAATATATTTGAATTTTTAACCCCACATCACAATACCATTTCCCTGCTTTTTCTTATAAATTGGAAAAAAAAATTCCTTCGTTTTTAAATCTAAGAGAATTCTTAGAAAATTATTTTTGTTGAAATTAAAGTATAAGGAAAAAGATGCTTATGTTTGGTGCATCAATTACATTCTTTTAATTATACTTATTATTAAATCGGGGGTTGTGATTAAAAAATTAATTTAAGGAGTTAAATACTCTTCTGATCAACAATATAAATATTGCCCCGACTTATCCTAATCTAAAATATAAGTTCAATTTTATAATATCCATGATATTTAATTTAATATATGCTTTTGATAACATTTTATTTTAAGAACTTTACAAATTATTTACATATTTAATGATATAACTTTCTTTTCACCTGTACTCTTTTGATTCTACGTGCGTTAGTTAGATCATAGTTATGCTACAGACCAAAGGAACATAAGGCAGAAATTCAAATATCAAATTGAGGAATTTGGGGGAAATATGCAGTTTGTGAAACATCTAATGAGAATAATTACTTCTGTTAATTTTGGTAAGGTACTTATTTTTTCCTTATATTAAAGATGGAGGTAATACTTCATACTTTTTCTTATATTTTGGGCGGAAGTTAATGCTCCGTCATTTCCTCCGGTCCTAATTTAAGAGATATATAAGAGATTTAATTTTTTTTATTAAATATAAGATTTTAATCCATTTTGCGTTCAAATTTATAATTATTTTTTAAATTATTCTTATTTATTGTATATATTAAAGGATTTTTTATTAAGATAAGTTCAATTGCATATTATTAAAGAAAATAATCAACATATTTATTATAAATAACTAACTTAATTTTTTAATGTTTATAAATTAGCTATACCTCTGTTTTATATTAATGATCAGGAATGTTATCATTTTTCCATTTGCATTCTTATTGCCACTAAATTTTTTCTCCTTTAGGAGCCGAAAGTTTACTTACTGAAACAAATTAAGGCATATTTAAAAGTTAATAAAAAACTTAGCCGTGTTAATTATAAATTTGTAAACTTTAATTCACATGCCAGAACGTGATAGATTAAAAAATGGACAGAGAGCATATAGTTTACTTATAGCAAAACTTTAATGTTATTTCACAAAAACTACCTTTAATTTTTTTTTTTTTTTTTTACTATGTATCTAATTTTTGGGAGAATCCCAAACAAATCCGGCAAAAATATCTAAATCACAATTTAGGCCTTCATTTTTAACAATTTTTAATCATGGCTGTGAGGCTTAATTAAAAATTTCTGAATTTTATTGAGAATGCTCCTCTTTAATTAAAAAAATTGATTATTTTATCCCTCTCAAGTAATCCCTTAATTTTTGTGATTATTTTTAAGAAAAAATATATAAATAATTTTACAGTGTTTAAAATTTGTAGATATAACTATAAACATTAAAAATATTTTAATTAAAAAATGTTAAATTAGAATATAAGTAGCATGTTACTATTTTTTTTTATTTTCAAATTTTATCATCTACTTTAGTTTTATTTATTAGCAATGTTAGATTCAACCGAAACATAAATTATAGCAACTTAATATTAAATATTTTTTGTAATTAAAATATTTTAAAATCTTGAAATAATATTTACAACACATGAAATAAAAAATATTTTTTTAAAAGAGTACTTATTTATAAATTAAAATTTTTTATTAAACCTTACCAAAAAAAACGTTTTATTAAAATATTTTGAATGTTTAGTTATATATACAAAATTTCAAACATTGAAATAATTTATATGTTTTTTTTCTCTAAATACTAATAATAAGAGATGATGAACTATTTAGGAGGATAAAATAATCATTTTTCATTTTAAATTTAAGAGGAATATTTTTGTTATTTAATAACATTCAGAAATTTCTAATTAGGTCTCATGTTTGATTAAAAATTTATTAAAAATGTATGTCTAATTTGAATTTAGATATTTTGGATGGATTTAATTGGGATTCTTCCTTGATTTTTTTTTCATTAACCTATAAATAATTAATCGACATTAAATCAATAAAATTTTCCATTGAATAAAAGATAAAAGTAATACTTTATTTAAATTTGGAAAAAGATAATATATCAAGAAAAATAAAAATTCTAAAATGAAGTTGCTTTAAAATTGGAGAAGTCCTAATAAAATACTACTTGTCTAAAATTTACTTCTCATTATTTTTTTTAAAAAATAATTGTAGAATATGATTTGTTTTTATTTATAGTAGACATTCCAAGGTTACTTCTAATTTTTTGTTATTTTTATTTTTTAATCTAGTTTTTGTTTTAAATAAATAACGGACTCCGTATATGTATCGCAGCGGCTTGCAAAGGAACACCACAGTCACTTCTATTTATGTTTACCTCTCCCCTTCCCTCCCTCCCTCTCTGAAAGCACCCAGAAGAAGACTAGGAAGCTCCGTCAAACGTCGTAATGGCTGCCGACGTGAGCTCTCTGGTTCGGACCTTGGGAGGTGGAGGCTGCAAGGACGACCAGCACCGGGCGGCGGTGAATGATTCGACGAGCGAGAAACCGGTGGCTCTGATTACTCGAGACCTGCTCGGCGGCTCCTCTAGGTGGTCGTCGAATCTCAGGATTTGGATCTTGACCTGCCGGTTCCTAGTGGATGGGAGAAACGCTGGACCTCGAGGTGCTTTGCAAATCTATTTCTTTATTTCTGTCTGTTTCCCGGGAAAATAAATTATCGCTGTTGGATAGCTTACTGGAACTTCTGGTTTATGGATAGTGATAAAGCCACTGGTTGTTGCGTTAATTACATCTCGGCTTCTTTCATGGAAACTGAACGACTGAATTGTCGTTATTCCGAGCGGAATTTCATTTCCTTTTCTATGTTCTTATTTACATTCGCTGTTTTGCGTACAAATTTCTTCACCGAAGCGGCTTCTTCTTCTTCTGCTTCAGATTTATGATCTTTTAAAATATTTTTTGTTGATGCTTGATTTAGAAGGTATGTGATTTGATTTTATGGCCGTCTGATTGGCTGCTGAGAAATTGGAGCGAATGTGAGTAAAAGTATATTACTACCACTATTTATTTTTATTGATTTTGATCACTCTCAGAAATACGTTAAGCTTTGGCTTTTAATGTAACAGCAAGCCTGCAATCAATCCGTTTTGTTTTAGTACGTTGGCATTTATATCTTAGAAAACAGGGTCTTTCCAAGTTTTACGCTTATATGGTATTCTTTCACAGCTTTTCACATCTTTACATACCTTTTGGATCAATTTTAAATTTAAATTGATTTTCACTTCATTATGTGTTTATTCTCCAGCAAAATCATCTCACATGGAAGAACTATTGTAGTTTTGGCCTGATGCAGAGTTTTATAGATCACATGTATTCCTTGGTTTTCTTTAGTATTGCTTTGGATGAGTATTAATGGGTTTTTGTTGTTCTTTGTCCATGGTTGCAGTCTGGGAAAGTGTACATTCAGAGGAGTGACACTTCAACCTTACCTTCAATGTCTGAACAAAAGCTGCAAATGAATCATGAAGGCACATCAACACAGGTAAAGCTCAATTCGCCATTAAGGGCACCTCTGAACCTTTTCGATGAAACAAGCTTAGATTTGAAGCTTGTTTCATCCTCAATGCCATCAAGTAATAATTACCAAAGCGTATGTACTCTTGACAAAGTGAAATCAGCACTTGAGAGAGCAGAGAAAGAGCCAATCAAGAAGCGAAATCCTGTCTGGAAACCATGTTCATCATCACCATCACCTTCGTCATATTCATCTTCATCCTCTTCCATGAGAGAAACTCAGGAAGAAGAAAGTGAGGAGAAATTGATGTCATCACCAATGGCAGCTGGATGCCCTGGATGTTTGTCATATGTGCTGATCACGAAGAACAATCCCAAATGTCCAAGGTGTAAGTCGGTTGTTCCTTTCCCATTGATGAAGAAACCTAGGATTGACCTCAACATATCAATCTAAGAGATTGAGGATATATAATGATAGCATCTGGAAAAATTTCTGTCGATTCTGTAAATGATAGATAAAATTAGCAAGGTCGTTGAAGGATAGGATTATTTGATTAAGATATGTTGGCCAGGTTTATGTATATTGCAAATGGATTGCGGTTTTCTTAGCGAAGCTAATAGAATATTTTATACTTCCTGTATAGTTCTCTTGGTATTTGATAGCGTATTGAACTTGTTTTATACGACACAATAATACTCGAAAATTCGTAATAGAACATTTTAATGAAGGGAGGGGAGGCGAAATGCTTGATTTTAATGAAAGAATAGGATTTCTGGGGGGGAGGGAAGGCGAATGATTTTTAATAAAATGAAAAAAAATTCACTTAGGGAGGCTTCATAATAATAACAAGGCTATTTCTCTGAAGGACTTGCCTAATTATTTCTCACATTTTGCAGTATTTGCCTTGCGCTTATTTTTATTGATTAATATATTTTTCTTTCCATTCAAAAAAAAAAAATAATGTAAATAATTTAGTTGCCCGATGAATGAACGACAAAGAAAAAAGAGACGTACCATGAAAGGGATTTAGATTCTCTCCACTACCCTTCCCATCCTCTTCCCCTCCATTACCCTCATTTTCCCTTCACAGTCATTGGATCAAAACTCCAATGGTCCAGATTTATATTTTATAACATTTTGTAAAAATAAATATTATATAAAAATAGATAAATAACTTTAAACTATTAAAATCTAATCTTAACAGTTCATAGCTATAGACTATTATTATAGAGCAAATTTTTTTCAATTTTTTTAATTACAGTTGTGAACTGTTCAGATCAGATTTTAACAGTTTAAATTTATTTATTTTTTTAATAACATTATTTTTATAAGATGTTAAATCTGAACCATTGGAATTTTGATCTAATGGTTTATGGTTGTGAAGAGAAATGGAGGGTAGTGGAGGGGAAGAGAATGGGAAGGGTAGTGGAGAGAATCCAAATCCACCATGAAAGAGAAAGCTTACGAGTGAAGCTAGAACGGCTTTATTTGAAGTATGCTTAAGACAATGTATTTAAAATAAAACCAATAACTTTTTAAAGATTGATAATTTGTTTAAATTTTGTAGATAATTGTGATGGTTGAGAATTCTTAACATAATTTTGTTAGGTTTGGGGTTTTCAAAATAATTAGACGAAATCACTATGTGATTAAAAAAAATGTAATTATCAAAAAAGAATTATAACAAACTAATGGCAAGTTTAAGTATAGAAAATAAAAATAAAATTTATGCTGCTCATTTTTTATTTGGACTTTTTATTCTTTCATTAGGGTCTCATCATATTTTTTTTACATGACCATGAGAATTTTTCATACGCTGGCGCCCATGAGTGAAAATCTTAAATGCCATATTATCTCTTAATCACACTAATATCAAGAAATGAATTATATGTACGCACCCAATTCGGTGCATTAGTGCTTAATTGCAGAATTCTAATGGGATTCATTCTAATAGCTCTGGTATGATCCCACACTCAAATTTAAATTATCATTAATGAAATGAAAGTTTGAAATACTCTTACTCCAAAAAAAAAATACCACTAACATACTCCTATCAAATTTATACCCTTTAATGTTTTCCTTTATTATCATTTTTTTAATTGACGGGGATAATAGTCTTTCATGCTGTGCATGAATCTCTTAATTGCTTGGGCATCCATGTAATAACTTGTGGTTGTTGAATGATCTTCCTTTCATGATTAGGAAACATGCATGCGGATGTTATTTGACACAGATATAATTAAATTGATAGATGCTTTTATATGTCTTTCAAAAAATACTTAAAGATTTCTCTGATTACCTTTTTTTTTTTGCCAGAGCCTAATCACTTACTATAATTGAAAATTCAGAATTTCCATATAATTGTTCAGTCACAGTTTCACACATATAAATAATAAAGTAAAAGTAATTCAATCTCTTTATCTAAATATTGACGCATTTAGAAATAGAACAGTATGAAATCCTATTGTTAATATAAGAACTCATCTGTCTTTTATTTTGATCCTAAATATAAGATCTAAATTCACTTTGTTTCTCATGTTTATCTATTTTTTTAACATAGTCCTTGTAATAATGATAATTCTAGTTAATTTTGCTCTTTATTTATTATTGTGTTGATTTTATTCACATGAGGTATAATGTATATTAAATAAGGATAAAGCTGAAAAGTTATTGAATTTTAAATGAGAGTTAATGAAATTTAATTTTTTTAGTCTGTGTGAAACATACTGAAAGTGGCTTATAAATAAAATCAGAGGAGGACACTTGATTAAGAAGGATACTTTATAAAAGAAATACTTATTTATTACAAATAACTAACTTAACTAGTTTTCTTAATTTATTCAAATTAGTCAATTAAATCTTATATTAAGAATCGGAACTAATATATCTGAGTTAGTACATGCAATTATTGAACTTTGAAGACAATTAACTATAGAGTAGCATTTAAATATATGAACCTAAAAATAATGGGGGCACCGGATGAACAAGCATGCTGACTGCTGAGAACAGAGAGAGAGAAATGGCTTATCCAACACGAAAGGGAAAAGGATAAATGAATATACCAACAAAGTTCTTATTTGTGTCCACTCGAAATGGCTCATTACTTTCCAGCGTTTCAACTTTCAACTGTCAATCTCAATTTCACGTACCATCATTTAACCGCCCAATTACCCCCTTCTTTTTTTCTTTTTTTCTTTTTATTATAATAATTCCTCACCACCACATTGTCACGCCCACATAGGTGAGGGAGTTTGGCCAAAATCAATTAAAAAAAAATTTTTTTCCGTAAATTAAGATAAAACTATTTTTATATATTTATCTCATATATTATAAAATTATTTCCAAAAAGCTAATTTAAACAATCCCTTGTTGCTGCAATTATTCACTTTTCAAGTCGAAGTGAAGATTCCTCAATTTGTATATATTCCAGCCCCCTTCTCCTCTGGGGAAGATTCTAGCTTTTTAGTTTCAATATACTACTTTTTATTTTTGTTTCGTTTGTTTCCTTTTTAATTCCCCCCTTCCGTTTTGGTTGCTTTTTCTGATCTGAGTATGTTTCGTGCTGTGTTCCAGAGGTTTTGCTGGTGAACACACACACATATTTATATGGTTCTGGTTTGCTGAAATAATGAAATAATCTTCTTATTTCCCCCTCCTACTCTAGTGCTATCTGCTGTGAAACATAATTGAAGTTTGCTTCTTATTTTGATCTAACTAGTTCTTAAGTTAGGAGGATGTTTGGTTTGCAATAAAAACACTTTTAAATAAAACTCATTTCACATGTTGACTTTTTCTATCACAAAATTATTTGTAAAGTAGAAAGTTCAAAACAATTTGACACCCTATTCATATACTCAAATAATGAGCAGTCAGACGATATTTGGTCAAACCCACGCAAGCCAGTAATGCAAGTGATTGGATGTTCGCACTGAAAAACAATCTCACATTATCTCAATTTCCACGTTACGTACCTAACCATGCAAATCCCTTACCTTTGCATGAGCATAATAACTTTTCGATGTACCGAACGAGCCCTAGCTGTATTATAATCAATTTGGTTTCCTGTTCATTTTGAGCATAAGAAGAGCATGCTCATGCCCTCTAATCAATTTGATAGATTTGAAATTTTTAAATTTTATTTTTTGCAATTTAAAATTAAGAGACCTTAATCATTTTATATCTGGTGTTACCTTCAAAAACTAAAATTATTAAGTTGTAAATTTTAGATGGTACAGTTCAGGGCAAAAACGAAAATGAAAAAAAACAGAGAAAAGAAAAGAAAAGCAACTAATTTATTGAAAATGAAAAGAAGACACTCTCTTTTGTTTTTATCACAAGTCATTTTCAATCACCTAGTCAGAGTAAAGAAAAAAAAATTTAACTTATTAAATCCGTCTTAAAATTAAAATAATTTTTTAATTTTGCCCCTAAAAGTATTGAATAAAAATTAAATTTTCTCTTTAGTAATTTGCAATGAGGGTAAAGTTAGACAATATAAATAATAAGTCTCTAAATAATGTATATCAGAGATGATGGATTTATATATTTTTTTCCCTAAGGAGGGCACAAACAAGCCCATGCTGTGTAAAATATCTGAATCGAGCATTAAAAGTTACTTCCATTTTTGAACCATATTACTATTCTCGTAGATGTGTTTATTTATTTTAAAAGGAAAATGGAGGGCAGCATTTTTTATTAAATAGGCATTGACTAACATTAATGGGTGGTTGAACTACTTACTGCGTAAAATAATAATAAGTTGTTGGAGGGGGCAGCATCATATCATAGAATGAGTAACACACTTTGGATTGAAACGTTTGTTGAAGAAATTCAAGTTCGGCCCTTATGGCCATAAATGTACTCTCACCCTTACTTTCTTCCTTCTTTCAATAAATTAGCCCCAAAAAATTATTGTATATTGACACTTATTATTATTATTCCCACGCACACAAGCATTGTGGCTCAAATTTTCTGAAGTGAATTCATATATCTCTGATCTTACTGGAAGCCAAAGCTTAATTAAGTTAATTTTTGAAGCATTAATTAATTAATTATAAGGATAAAATTGACAAATAAGAGTTAATTATTATGCAAGTGACTTATACTATGAACCGAAAAATTCTTGTAAACATTACTTATATTGTGGATTGGTGGGAGTATTGGCTTAAACAACAAATAATTTTATCCCATCATAGTTACTCAATTAGTCTTTGGATGCATGGTAGAAGATATTATGAGGCATTGATTTAGGTTATTTTAAGTGATTTTCCGTTATGTAAAGTAAACATATGAAAATATTTTTGTCTTATAAAATTTAAAAGTGATTTTTGAATCACTTCCCAAAGGAGTCTTAATTTAAAAAAAAAAACTTTAAAAAAATTGATATGGCTATTTTTTGGGTTATATTTGAGCATTTTCGGATCTAATTGAAGATAGCTCTCCTAAAGATGTTTTTAACATTCACATGGGCTTTAATTCAAGATCTGGTGAAGCTGCTTTCACTAAAACTATTGGTGTTGGTTAAAAATTTCTAATGTATCAAACGGATAAGAGGGCATGGGCATGCTCTTCTCATTTTCAAGATGAACACGAAACCCATATCTATAGGTGAAGTAGGAGTTTACTTTTGAATCCTTGGCCAA